TGGCAGACGGCGATACAGCCTCTGGGGGCAGACCCCCGATATTTTGGCATTCTGGTTTGATTTGGGCGGAGGAGGCGAATTTCCGTTTCCGACTTCCGTTTATATTTAAGTAAATATGCTGAACCATTGCGATGGATTCAGAGTTTGCAGTAACGCCAATTATGTTCCGCCTTGTTAGTTCACCGCACGGAGCGTTTAACCTGGCAACAACTGCAGCCGGCTCAAACGTGATTGATCAATATCACATGGACTACAAACAGCCTAGCACCGGAAACCAGGGCTCTTCCGCTCTTCTTCCGGAGGCAAGATCTCCAGGGTTTGCCTACAGACTCTAAATTCACTGAATGTAGAGTCTGTATATAGAAACTAGGGCACCACAAACCAAAAATCAATAGATTTCTTTATATCATGTTATTTCAGCTACTGGCTGTATGTTGTAGCCTGTTGTAGCTAGTAGCCTATAGCATTACAATGCTATGATCAACAGACACAGACAGTGTTGCTTCTGTGTGTCACTAAGACACTATAGAATCAAATACCCATCGTGCCAGCTGGTCACACTACTGTGAACAACATTTAATGACACTGGACAGAAGTTTTAAAACAGATGAGAAAATAAAACCACTCCTGCGATTGGTAAAGTGTCAAAATATAGGAGCATAATCAAAATAAATACAAGCAATCAAAATAAAATCTAAGAATGTAAGCAGAAGAAGATCACTGAAAAGGTGGTGGAAGCCTAAAGGGGCACAGACCATCTCCTATATAGTGTGGCCAGCTAAAGCAGGCCAGCCACATGTTGGCCAATGTCCCAGTCAACATCATGAGGTTGTCTTTGGCTGTTAGTGACTGGAAAAGACCAAAGTCAGTGCCGCTTCATGCAAAGTTTTAGCCGTGCCAAAGCCTATCCACCCTGCCCCTCAAGCCCCGCTGTGTGAAGTAATTCTTCATGCCAGCGAAACCAGACGGACTCTGTGTTTTGTCACAGCATGCAAGGTGATACTTTTACAACACTGCAGTTTTTAAATTCAAAGATTAACAGGTGAGTGTTCTTCCTTAAAAACACATTTTTTTTATGAACTATGTCAGAATCTGCTTTCTATTTCCTGTAAGGAGATTTGAAATAAAGCAGGTGAGAGGGTTTTTATTGGATTAAAACCCATGAGCTGTATCAGACAATTAGCATTTCCTATGTCAAGGTCTGTCATTATGTTGTAGGAGAAAGAACTTGACACTAGCTGGAAAACTGGACACTAAATCTGATCTGACTGAGTCTGTAAGGGAACAATATTCCACTCAAATCCTGGCTAAAACTAGGGCTTAAAAAGCAAGCTGTATATAATGTTTGTTGCAGACTCATATGTAGACAGATTGTGTAACTGTAACAGTGAAACTTAGACAAAAAACATTCTAGCAAGACAGCTGTGTCTAGACAAGCTGTGGAGTTCATCTGCAGGCCAAAGTCAGGGGCCTAAAGGACCAATGACAAACCCCTCCAGGCTCAACACCTCTGTACATTACATGAAGGTTTGAAAACACAACAGTGTGACACAGCGCCTCTAAAATCTTTCTCAATGTTTCTGAGCAGCAAAGAGCAGCTCATAATTCCAACTACAGTTATATTTACAGTGTCTGCCACGTCTCTAATAACCTCTAAAGGTTTTCTGCTCGAACACAGAGACAGTCCACCATTAGTCAAAGACTTTAGAGTGTGAAAGAAAGATTAAAGCCAAAATAAAAAAAAAACATGGCATCACAGGAAGATCTATCGCAACCCTATTGACATTTAAATTAAAACCAAAATGAGCACTAATAAGCTAGAAAACAGAACAATACACTAGCTGTCTAGTGCCATGAGTTGATTACTCCCATCCTGTCCTGCCTCAGCACCAGATTCAGTGGCTGCAGCCAGGAGGACTTAAATTGATTGGGCCTCTGATGCTCTGAGGTCTTGGGTTTCATCCTTAAACCAGGAAGATTCTGTTGCTGTTTATCAGGGATGCATGATGCATATCAGGCTGACAGATTATTGGCCAATAATAGGATATTAATCATATTATCTATTATTCCGATGACAAAATTATGGCCGATAAATAGACCTGATAATACAAAGCCAAATTGCTTATATTAACTTCAGTAGCACAGCATTTACGTCGCCAATAAACACAGAGAAGGAGAAGAAGAAGAAGACTCCAGCAAAGAGGAAAACCTTGCTGAATTGTGATAGCAGAAGCCTTGCCTGTATGATGTGTCCTCCAGCTCTTACCACGATCGCGTAAAGCTGGATGAAGCATGGAAGGACATAGTGGCCAAGTTGCAACCTAGCAGCTGGCAATCACAAACACAGACGCAGCGCAGTATAGTGGCCACAAACTTTAGGTTACTTAATAATGTGGCCCTCTATGTTGTGCTTCACAGTTGGAGAAATAATAACCCCTGCAGCATCCCTGCGCATACACATAGTATGGGAAGCTATTGCATCATACGTCATAGCCTGCAATTCAGGAAGTGCTGTCATCATACAGTCTGCATATATCAAACTTGGTGTTGTACCCAAGTTTATTAGATCCATGTCACACAGTGTCACTTGCACTAAACTTATAAGACTGAAAATTCTCACAGTCTGTACGAGGCCTTAGGCACACTAACTAACTATTTTGGACCTTTTTGTCTTTGCTGCATGCTTCTGTGTGAAACCTATTTGATACCTTCTTGTAATCTGGGAATCATAACAGACAAATGTCTATTTTCTATTTAGAGTACAGTCCACAAAAGCATGGCTCCTTTTCAGACATCACTGTCCCACTTAATAAACAACCTCCAGGTCACAAACTGTGAGACACTACTCCTTGAATTTGTATTGGCATGACCTGCTCGCTGTTTTGCATTTAAGTGAGTGAGTTGACTTTGTAGCAGCACAGAAGGCAGACAGATGTTGTTAGGAAGATTCATCAGACAGCTCAATTTGGGACTTTACATTAGATTTGCACTGATAGAGAAGTGGCACCCTCTGATGGTCAAAAAGCAGAGCAATTTTTATACCTTGTTGCGAACTCTGGCACACTCTGCTGGATTTCCTGACGTACTGACAGAGTTACAGCGACACTGTAGGTAATATATTCTGTATGCAACGTAACACTTGATGGTATCCATATATAGATATGTTAAGAGACAACATAATGAAGTAAGACTCACATGGTGCAGCAGACAGTAGCTTTTGAATATATTTATCAGACCAATATTCCAGCAACTGACTTGGAGACTGTTGGAAAATAAGAGCTTTATTGTAAAATTAGGCATTTTAGTTCTTGATTCTGTGTCTCCAGCTGTCTACAATGAAATATAAAGCGTTGTATATTACCTTCACACAATCAGCTTTTATAAATAAAAGCATCACTACTGCTACTAAGGTTTCAGCTACGTAACTGCTGTGGTAATAGTCACAGTTCTGTTTTTCAGCCACGTACTCGCACAAAGAGGTGGCTTTTCTCTGAACTAACATTTTTTTGGTAAAGACGACAGGACACACTTCACTTAACATCAATTATTTCCCTTACAACAGGAAAAAAAGGCCAGGAGACTATCTTCAACAGACACACTGTACACAGACAGATGGTAACTCGCTACCCTACTTTGGCTGCAATCAATAACCCATACCCAAACTAACAGGTTAACGCTGTTAACAGTGGATACAGAGATAGCAGCTGCAGAGGGGCAACAGGCATAGGTGTGGTTGTCTCTTTAAAGGTCCATTGTAGAGGAATTAGGGGAATATATATTGGCAGAAATTATATAACATAATAAATATGCTTTCTTTAGTGTATAATCACCTGACAAAAAGAATAGCTGTGTTTTCGCTACCTCAAAATGAGCCATTCATATCTACATAGAGAGCTGGTCCACTGGGGAACTCTATGTTTTCATGTCAACTATCACAGTTTGCAGCCCCTCTGCAACACGAGGGTTGGGGAAAAAAAAAAAAACACTAATTTTTTAGCATAAATTTGCTTTACTCAGTATTTTTACTGTTTAAATCACCATGTCTGTTTGTTTCGGAGAGGAGGAGACCTCTGCTGATAATCTGGCTCCCGGTAAAAACCTCCTGAACATCTGGATCTTAAGTTATCAGAGAAAAAAAGGTGTGCAGGTGCTAGGCTAGAAGCCCATTTCCTACATGCCAAACAGCATCAGAGAAACACTGATTTGAATGTCAAACTGCTTTATTCAGTGTTTATACCAGTTTTAATCACCTGGTCTGTTTGTTGTGGAGAGAAAGAGACTTTGAGTATAATCTGGCTCCAGGTAAAAATGTCCTGAACAAAGAACACTGAGGGAACTTTAACCGGGAGAGGTTTCAGCTGGTTGTGATCTGAAATCCTCACTTCTGGATGCCACTAAATCCCTGGGACCATTAACCTATACTCTTTGTAGGGGCACCTTCTTATAGTCAGACTGTAAAGAAACTATAGAAGTACTCTGCTGTGTGATGTGTTGTGATCTATGTGCTTTCAAATGTTCAATTCTGGTCAATCTAAACATTAACAGACTGTATATGCTTCCTTACAGTGCTGTCACTTTATGATCAAATAAACTAACTGACTTATGCTATGACCTGATGCTAGCATCTTTCACAGCTAAAACCCTCAGCAGCACAAAGGTCACAACCAGAGAGCAGATCCAAGCACCTTCATTCTAAATCTATTTTCTAAGAAGTCCAAAGTGAGCCAGAATAAACAAAACACAGAGACAGAAATCAAAGAAGAGGGAGAATGCATTAATGTAACGGACTGTGTAAAAATCATAAGCAGTTGGTACACTGATTATAACAAAGGCAACACTGCCTCTCCACTCATCACTACAGATTAGTTGAAACTAAATCAACACAGAGAGGATGTAGCAAAGGAAGTCAAGCTGAAGCAGGTGATAACCACATGGTTGCTTAGTGAGAACGCTGCTATCTAAAAGGGTCGACTTGACAGCCCCCCAGACCACAGGTTGAGTGCTGCCAACAGGATGCATAGTGTGCACAAGATCTTAATCTTTCATGTTCTGACATGTTTTGGAGGAAATGGTAAGATTACAAACAATGAATTATTCTTCTCGTTGAAAAAATGAGACACTAATTATTCAAATATTTCCTTATCCTTTTAGCACTTGGGAGTGAAATCATAAAAGGTACAAAGACCACGGACAAGTCGATGCTGTATATGGCCTCGATACAAAACCACAGTGGTCATGTATGTGGAGGATTCCTTGTCAGTGAAGACTTTGTAGTCACTGCTGCACATTGTGATAACCTGTGAGTGACCTTTGCTCTTCAAAACAACCTAATTTCTCCTAAATATGCAACTCCAATAATGCTGTCAACTTCTCAATCACTATTCATGCAGGAATCCTACAAGTGTTGTTCTCGGCACCCACAATCTCAAGAATGTTGATAATAAAACAATGAGATACAGTGTGAGGAAGTGCAAACACCCATCTTTTGTGAAAACCTCATCTGGGAATGACATCATGCTCCTCAAAGTAAGTAGATATCTATTCAACCCTTTAGTCCCAGGTGACGTAACACATCTTTACAGTCAAATTATCTGCATTTATTTTACGTTATCTGACAGTCCATAAGGTTCAATAAATAAAAAGATGTTATTTCCAGAGGGAGGGTAAATGTAAAAAACTAGTAAAAAACACAGAACTATCAGAACCATTCAGCAAACTACTGACTATAAAACACTGACAGCATTAACAATAATCATTCACCAGCTAGTGCAGGCAAAAAACACAAATGGATGATTTTTTTTGTACCGATTTTTTTTCTGAGTTTGATACATATTGAGTGTGCACTGGTACGTGCTGCCTCCAAGAAGTAGCTACAGGTTTGCACTTTAAGTCCAGCCGACAATAACAAAGTCCTCCACCATCTCACTTAGCTTTTATATTTTATCAAACTAAGGACCAATGATCAATGGAACGGTGTTAAAAACTCAGTTGAGTACTGCGTGACAACATTTAGCTTAAGTTTAAGCAGTACAAGTGGTGACTGACTCACACGTCTCCCTTTCTGGGTCTTCCACTGCGTCTTAGCAACTCATGCACTGCATGCACTGGCTGCTAAGCTGGTTCAGTGCCAGATTTCCTTCTGTGCAGCCCACAGCATGTGTGCAGTACTGTTTCTAATGCCCACTATTAAAAATATAAAACCCCCAATGACTAAAAAACCATAAGAGAGTAATAACTATAATGGCGGTCTATAGAAAAAATGCTTTTTGGATCGCAGGGGATTTTTTTGGTTGCTGTACCATTAAGTAGCCAATGGGACTCATTAGCAGTAATGCCACATGGCAGCGCAGTCTTCAGTTCTTTTAAAACAACCATGGCATATACTCACTGCCGTCAGCACTTCCTGTGCATGCCTCACTGCAGCCTGTGTGCTGAAGAATGCCAAATAACTGCATGGGTGTTTTTACGCTCGTCAGATTCTTTCATGTACTGTGTATGTATGTAGCTTGTAAATAATATGTCTGGCTAGCTGTGGATTTTTCAACCCAGTCACCAGAATAAATGTTGGCATTGGTATGTGTCTGCAAACCACGGACATTTTGAGTTGGTATGTTTTGTATGTAGTGAATATGTTGAAACATTATGTTGCAATTTTCAATTTTATGTTGACATCGCTGTGTGTTAACAAGTGGTGAGGGTTAAGGCAAAATCCCACTTTGTTAGGGTTAGGACAACATCATGTTTTGGCTTAAAAAAAAAAAAAAACGGGTGGGTGGCCACAACCACAGCTGGAAATGTCTGCTTTTATCAGCATGTGGCAGCCTGTCTGGCCTATGGTCTCACGCCATTCACCATCCCCTCCTCCTCCTGCTAAGAAACTCACTTAGATACATAATCACAATTATAACTATAATCACTTTTGAAACATTTATATGATACATGTGAAATGTACAAATGTAACATATCCATGGCTTGAAGAAACATACAATGCCAACAAAGTCTTAGTGCCTGTCAGTGTTTATATTGTTTAGCATATCGATTTTAATACATTTTATCATCTCCAGTTCATTTTTTATTTCTGCTACTGTCACAACTCAACAAGCACTGTAGGTGATGCACACTTTGCATCAACACAGTTATCACAGTAAGGTAAAAGACTTCCTGATTTCATAACTTATCAACTTAAAGTTGCCTACAGCTCAGTATTTTGAGATAACGAAGGATAAACTCCTTTACTTGCACTTGATACCCACATTTCCTGTTTGTGTATTCTGCTTCAGGCCTGAGAGGTGCGCAACACCAAATACTAGAAAATGTAAAATACTGAAGGGTTTGACATATTTAGATGTCCTGACATAACTAAAACTTCACCAGCTCCATCTTCCAGCAATTATTTGTTAACTGGAAGTCTCCTGAAGAAAAAGGCAACGTTATCAAATGAGGTGTTGCCACTTTTTAACTCTTTCTTATGTTGTGTCTCCAGCTGTCAAGAAAAGCTCGCCCAAGCAAAAAAGTACCACTTAAGCCAATTAAACTTCCAAGTCATAAACAACACCTTAAAGAAAAGAAACTGTGCCTTGTAGCTGGATGGGGTTACACAAGAACTAATGGTACAGTCGTTGATGAGCTGCAAGTGGTGGATGTGCCCATCATTGACCTGAAAAAGTGTCAGAGGATGTGGCATAATGCCCTTCCTGCCAATGTTATCTGTGCAGGTGGATATGACACAAACAAAGGATTCTGTCAGGTATGTTTCTGTTTATAATAAAACATACCAACTGGTTTGTAAGTTCAAAATGGTATACACATATTTGAATAAACAAATAAAGCTTCTCCTCCTCACAGGGTGATTCTGGTGGCCCTTTGGTGTGCAACGGAAAGACAGCAGTTGGTGTTGTTTCCTTTAACAGCAACTATAACTGTAACTACCCAGATGTGCCCAACGTCTATACAGACCTATCTAAATTTCTTCCCTGGATGAAAAAGATTCTCAAGAAAGAGAACTGTTAAAATTGTTTTGAATTGTGGATGTCTAAAATGTGTCTTTGTCAGCAAAATGAAAAATGTGTCTGTTTCCTTCCAACAAAACATTCACAAAAGTAGTGCTTATATCTTCTGACAATGTAGTTTCCTGTTGCCCTCCCATCACTGCTCTGGGTGCAGAGGCCTGCACATAAAAGGCTGTACAGAGTGCAACGCAAATTGAAACAGTGTTTATGATTTGCATAAAGCCAAGATGGAACTTCAATTCTGGGTATCAACAGCCTTTTTAATGATGCTCATTTAGACTGCTTTCAGTTGAATAATGATAATAAAAACATTACTGAGCTCTAGTTTCATAATTGTGACTGTGGAAACATCAATGCTCAGATCTGTAACTGGAAACTGGTTTCTCTTTTTTTCAACATGGTCTAACAGCTCAAAGAAATGTGTGCATTGTGGCTTGTGTCAGGTAGATCCACACAAAAAGAACATCAGTTTGTATTTCACTTGATATATTTATATAGCTGAAGTTAATTAGATGTGGCAGTATGGTACTATGAACAAAAGGTGAGAGGAGAACCAACAGGGTCCACAGTGAATAAAGGTCAAAAGCTGTAAGACACTAAACCTGGTATTTGTATTGTGATGACATGCTCACTGTTTTGGCTAATGTGAGGGACTTGACTTAAATGCAGTACAAAAAGCAGAGAGGTGTTGTTCGAAAGATTCATCAAGCAACTCAGTTTGTGACTTTACATTAGATTTGCACTGATGGAGAAGCAGCACCCTCTGATGGTCAAAAAGCAGAGCAATTTTAAAGTCTTGATGCAAGCTTTGGCACTCTATGCTGGATCTAATTAAGCACTGACAGTGCAAACAGCTGAGATAATATATTCTGTATATAACGTTACACAAATATAGATATGGAAAGAGACTACACAATGTAGTAAGACTTGCATCCTGTCATCCCTCTCCCCCATCAAATCTACACTCAACTGTACCGAAGTTCACCAAGGTAAGAAGTGGTACAAGTGTTTACTGTGATATTAAGTAAGTTGTTTTTGTGTGGCATATGTACATGTCATTTTGGACTATATACTGTAATTCGGAAAAACAGCGTATTGTGCCAATGTATAAAATTGGTATGATAAACAGGTATCCACTGTACAGTGGATGGCAAAGTTGAGCAAGGAAATAACAGCACAGGACACGGTTACCATAGGTTGGTACTTAACTGTTAATACAATAGAGTAAATCACCATCAAGGATAATGTGGAAAAATTTTGCATTCCATTACATTTAATTAATAAGAGATACTCTTGAATATAATATAATGTTAATGTTAATGTTGTGGGATGTTTTGTAGGGCTTTTGTACTTGGATGTAATTGATTTGATTTGTGTCGCTTTAATAAGGCCATGTGTCCACCAAAGCGTTTCTTTTCCCAGCAGAAAAACGACAGCTGTTTTTGTTCAGCACTTGTATTTGTCCACTGTGAGGATTAGTCTTTGCTGTTTGTCCTGGCCCTTCTCCACTGTGATTGGACGGCTGGTGACAGTGACAAACGCAGCATTTTACCCAAAGTTAAACATCTTTCAACTCTCATTTTTAATTGGAAAAACAGGTAAATAATCACACAAGACATACGTTGTCGGACTTATCACTATTAGTTTACTTTACTAATCCTCCAAAAATACACTGCAGTTCAAGGCTGGATTATAAGGCTTCTGAGAGGCCTTGTTGTAGTGGCAGGATGGCTATCATTAGCTTCTGAGCTAAAACTAGTAAGTCTCTCTCAAACATGCAGTGTTACAGAGATATTTAACATTAGTAACATTATGTTGTTTATGACATTGTCAGCCCCAAAGTTAACTTCTGTAGTGTCCATTATGGCAGATTTTTCTCATCAGTCCTTTTCAACAGCAGACTGACTCACACAATGTACAGTTTTTTGTCGGATAATATGACGATGGAGATCACATTTTTATTTCACTCAAGACATTCCACTTGCCTGAACAGAGTTAACTTGTCCTGGGTGAGTGTTAATGTCGAGCCCTTTGACAGGGAAAAACACTTTGGTGGACATACAAGGAACCAGGTAGAGTGTATTGAATGCACTAAGGTGCTTTAGTTAATCTAGAGATAACATGCAGATTGTTTTACCCCCTCATCCAGTCGAATGGTGGAAGAGTAGGTAAAATTTCAATTCACCAAGATTTTCTTTAGTTAATTACAGCCCTACTCATCAGCTCACTGTCTAGCACCCATAGGTGTAGCAGCCTGCTGTGGAGCATAATCTGTTGTCGCTGCATCCTGTGGTACACTCTCAGGTGTAGCAGCCTGTTTTGAAGTATCTGAAGGTGTAGCCGACTGACTTAACAATTGGGGGAAATAGACAAACACTATATTTACTGTAGTCTATTTAAAGTTTGTGTTGCTGCCAGTAGGCCCCACTTTAGTCTATACATCATTATTTGTACATTATAAGTGCTTAAAGTAATATTTACAATTATTAAATTGGTTCAGTGCAATCTGAAGTGGCAACATGTTACAGTAAGGTAGCCCCAAACCAAATCATCCTTGGGGTCCCCTGAAGTCGAGGGCCGGCCCTGCTCCTTGCTATATAACGCTGATGTCTCCCCAGTTTCTGTTATAATATAATATAATTATGTGTAACAGGCCTTTTTCATGGCAGACATTTTGACCTTTCATAGGAGGGAACAAATTACAATGGCTCAGTTCCATCAACTATCCCAGAAAGCCTTTACAGTGAGCAAGCATGCACAGTACCAGGACTATGGAGCTACATTTGTTTCTTTATTATTCAATCAAACAAAGCAGGTTTTGCAATCAAAAAAAATTTTTGAGAGCAAAAGTATCAATATCGCAAGTAAAAAATGACTGATTAAAAATGCAAATCCTAAAGTTTTGTTTGCGAGTCATTTTTTTTCATTTGCAAGTCAAAAAGTTTTGCGAGTAAAAAGTTGGACCTGGTGGGCGGGGCCTAAACTGAAAGCTGTAAGACACGTCTCTATTGGCCAGTCTTGGTCGGAATGACAGCTTGCAAAGCAACATGGGAGTTTTGTAGTTCACAGGGAATTCAGTGCGAGAGCTGTGGCGAAAATCAATGAGCAGGTATGTTTATACATAACTGATAAAAGCAAGAATGTTTTATTTGAACTGGTGCATGTAGATTGCTTTTGTTTAGCCAGGGCAGTACTATTTGACGGTGTAACGGTCAGTACCGTCGATGCCCTGGGGTGTGGCAGTAATGCCGACTGTAGAGCGTTTCCAGTGGGAGAGAGGGAATCGTGGGTGTAGCCCACTCTGGAGCCACGTCAAACCCACCAATAGAAACTCTTCTCTCATCCATCAGCATAGGCCCCGCCCATTAAGTGCAGTTGAACTTGCAAGCAAAATTTTAACTCACAAGCAAAGAGGACTGATTTATAAGCAAAATGATCACACGGTTTTACTTACAAACTTGATTTTTGATTGCAGTTCAAAAAATATGCTCTCAAAACAGTTTTATATGATTGCAACAAAAAGACACAAAAATACCTCCATACAGGACAATCAAACAAGCTCACCTAAATGGAATGCAGTCATTTTAATGTCACCACTTACGTTTTTCCTATTATGACATGCAAACTCATTACATAATATACTTTCTTAAAAGAAGTTGCACCAGACATTTTCCCTTTTGCATTAACCATATTGCATGAGATGTTAGTTGGTTTGTAACTTCCTTTCTCAAGAGCATGACACTCAGTCATCACTCTCACTATCAGCAGGGTAACAAATAATCAGAGTTGCTTCTCACTTTCTGCCTCGGGTGGAGACTCACAACCACATGCAGAAGGATCAGCAGACTCCACAGATGTTTGAGGCAGGTCCATGGTGACCTCAGAATTGTTTTCCTTCACTAGGACTAGATTTAGAGCTCCTGAAGATACTGCATTTGTTTGTGGTTGTGTCATTTTCTATATGATACGTACTAGCCTTCAGTAGTTTAGGGGTCTCTGGCGTGAAATCTAATCCTCAACCTGGGAAAATGTGAGGTTGATGTTTCAAGTGCACAAAGTAGCACTGGTCTCCTATTGCTCTCCTATTGCTGCATGAGGAGCACAGACTCAGACCTCTGCCTGCACCTAAAAGGTTGTACAGAGCGCAACACAAATCAAACAAGTGCTAAAGATACATTTTATGGCAATTAAAAACACGTTCTGCTGTTTGTGAAACAGTGATAAAATTAATGGCCTCTAGTTTCACAGCTGCGACAGACTGTGGAAACATCAGTGTTCAAATATGCAGCTGGAAACTGTGGTTCCTGTGGTTCTTCAAGATTGTGACACGATTCAAAGAAATGTTTGTGTTGTGGGTCATCAGGTCGAAACACACCAAAAAACATTAGTGACATGTGTTTTCCGCTTCATCTGTTTCGTCAGCTAAAGTTCATTTGATGTGGCCCGAAATGCGAAAGGAGAACCAACATGGTTTGAAATGATCATAATAGAGGGAATGAAAGTGTCAAAGATGCAACATGAACATAGCTGATCAGGAAAATGGATTAATGCAAACTAAGTCTGTGTTAATGCCCATGGCAACAAATAATTCAATTTATAAGTTATTGCTGATCGACTTGCTTCTCTCTGCTTCCTCCATGTTTTGAAACATTTCTCATGTGTTCCTGATATGTGGCAGTTATTAGTCCGATTCATGCATTTCCTTGCGTGTTGCCTTCTTTTCACATATTACTTACTTTGTCTCACACTTAGTAAGCCACGTCATTTTCACACATTGTCCACTGTGGTCTGGCGAAGCACCAACTGATGAGTCAAGATGCTTCTTTATACCTCTGGCTGTCAGTCAATGATCACATGATTTCAGATTATTTACATTCAGACTCTGAGAATATCGACACTCAAGCCTGAAGGTGGTTACTGCGGATTGTGTTACCCATTTAGTTTTTGGTGCAACATCGCAGTGACAAAAGCCAACTGCAGCCCAAAGGTCACAGTTCAAAGGTACATCCACAACAAAGATTTTTGTTTTTTTATGTCAGTTTATCTAACTAAATGTAAGAGAGAGGAAGGTCCAAGAATTCAAATAAATAATAAAATATAACAAAATACAGAGGCTGACAAAGACTTAAAGTACCATAGATACAAAGAGAAAACTGAAAATATTGAATCACATCAGCTATAGAGGGGAATAAATAGGTAAACGTAACACACTGTGTTAAACTCATCCCATAATGTGTACGTGCCTCAGGCTGCTAGAGCAGAACCACACGCTTTACATTTACTGGAACAATGACAATACTACATGATGCCTCATTTCTTTACTGACCACACACACTCATCACCATGAGACAATTAAAGTTTGCACCGACCCACAGAGGATGCGGCTTGAGCAGTCTTGGTGAAGCAGATGAAAACCACGGGGTCTCTTACAGAGCAAACTGCTGTATAAAAGCGTTGACTCGCACAACAAAGACAACAGGTTCAGTCTGCTGCCGACATCATGCATGCTCTACACGGGTTTCTGCTTTTTCATCTTCTGACATGTCTTGGACTTCATGGTAAGATTCCAACATCTGGTTATTAGTCTCTGATCTACAAATGCTACATTAACTCATCACCTTTTCCTCTTATCATGTCAGCACTTGGGAGTGAAATCATAAATGGTAAAAAGGTCCCTGAGAACTTAATGCTGTATATGGCCTCGGTGCAGAACAACGAGGGACAACATGTGTGTGGAGGATTCCTAATCAATGAAGACTTTGTGCTCACTGCTGCACACTGTGATGACGGGTTAGTTACCTTTCCTCTTTGAGCAATCTTTGATTCATCTGATCAGAAATGAAAAGAACTCAATCCTCACCACTAGATCCCTTAAAATCCTTTTAAATCTTACACACTGAACCTTTCAGAAACCATACTAACAACTTTTTTAAATGATCATTGACTCAGGAAACCCACAAGTGTCGTCCTTGGCATCCACAATCTCAAGAAGGTTGATAATGACACAATGAGATACAGTGTGAAGACATGCAAGCATCCATCTTATGAGAGTGTCTCAAAGGGGGATGACATCATGCTCCTCAAAGTAAGTGGATATTTAAACAGCCTACCAAAGTCAGTGAAGCATTTTTACAATAAAATCTCTTACTTTCATGTCCTGTTTAATACAGTTCAAATCCCCCCATAACTCTAAAAACAAAATACTGTCAGTATTTCAATATTCAGTGCACCTCCATCTTCAAGCAATTCCTTTTGAACTTGAGGTCTGATGGAGAATATCAGTGTTTGCTCATTTTAAATTTCCACTTTGTGTGTCTTCAGTTGTATGCTTTAAATCCACCCTTACTCATTTTAAATTTTCACCTTGTGTCTCCAGTTGTCAAAGAAAGCTCGACTGAACAAGAGAGTACAACTGATTAAACTTCCGAAGAATGAGATTAAAATAAAGGATAAAGCAAAGTGCCGTGTGGCTGGATGGGGTTACACAAAGACTGGTGGTAGAGCGGTTGACGTGCTGCAAGTGGCAGATGTGTCTATCATAAACCCGGAGGTCTGTAAGAAAGAATGGCTTAAAGTTCCATCTAAAGTTCAAGTTCAACTTCCTGCCAATGTTATCTGTGCAGGTGGATATGGCACAAAGAAAGGATTCTGCCGGGTATGATTTCTGTCCTTTCTTTAAAATAAAAAAAGTCAGTTTGTTTCTAGTCGAAAGATTTCTAGTCTCAGAAATTGAATTAAAAAAAATTAAATTTCTTTGTTTTCACAGGGAGATTCTGGTGGTCCTCTGGTGTGCGGCGGGGAGGCAGTTGGTGTCGTGTCTTTCAACATGAACGGCAACTGTGACTACCCAAATGTACCCAATGTCTACACGAATATATCAAAATACCTTCCCTGGATCAAAAAGATTCTCAAGCAAAGAAACTGTTAAATGTAACAATTCAGCATACTTTTACTGTATTATACTGGCTCCCTGGCTCCACTTCCACATCAGGTCAACTGATGCTGTTACTGCCTTTAAATCTTTTTTTTGTGTTGTACAATAATTATTGTTCTCTACCTACTGTTACTGTTATTAAATCCATTATGGCTTGTAAATTTCCAAACTTCAAAACTGTGCTTTTTGCTTTAAAAGTGCTTTATAAATAAAACTATAATTTTATCATTACTATCGTGGGGGTATTGCTGTCTTTAAGATGCTCTGTCAGTGTTAAGCTCTTTGTCTGAGAGGAAAATAAAAGTTTAATGTGAAATGTCAAATACTGTACTTCCTATGGTTACACAAAAAATATATATTTATTTAAATATAAAAATATATTCATTCATTGCATGTACAGCCATACTTTCAAACATTTTGGTGACATCTCAGCATCCTGAATTGCCAACTCCTTCGTTACAGTAACTCTGCACTCCACTTCACCACATTACATGTTGTATGGGTTGTAGCTGCTGTGCTAGTGGGCCAAACAAGTGTCACATTAAACTGAAAAACACCTGTGGTGACTGACGATGATCAAAACATTCAGATAGTCTTTTTCTTCTCGATATGGGTACAGAAAGGATTGAACGCAAGTGTCATTGACTGAAGAGGTTGAAATACTACTTAGTACTGGATTACTTCAATCGATACCTCTATGGTATTGAGTATGAATGTGCAAAAGAGTGTCAGAAATCTGCCAGACAGACAAAATGAAGCTTGGCTGAATTTCAATCAGAACTGATCCATTCAGCCACAAACTGACTGAATGATCAATTCTCCACTCCGCAACTCAAACTCACCAAACTGCTACTGAGCACATGGATCCAGACAGACCCCTAAAAATCTATGAATACAGAGAGGGACCGCACAGTGATCATAAAGCGACAAAGTTTGCTGACCTGTTCATCTTTTTGGGAAACTCAGTTTACAGTACCACATCATTGACACACACGCTGGAGCTCATTTTAGGGCTGAACAACGTGAGGAAAATACACAATGTTGAATATTGCACTCAAAATATTAGTTGTGATAACTAAACAGATAATAAATTTTTCTCAGTTCTGTCGTCCTGCTGCTTTCAGTATTCTGCTAAAATACAAGACATAGCTTGCTGAAACAAAATAAATGAAAGGAAATTATTTCCCACATTTTTTATTGATTAAATTGAACAATAAACTGAATATAAAAAGGCACCAATAAAAATAAATGATATACTTTAATGTCCAGTTTCTACTGCTACTGTCTTTCGAAATCCATAACAAAGATTTGTGTGTGGAGGATTCCTAATCAATGAAGACTTTGTGCTCACTGCTGCACACTGTGATGACGAGTGAGTTTCCTCTTTCAGCAATCTTTGATTCATATAATTAGACATCAATTTAAAAATACTTCAAGATATATTAACAAACATGTTAAACACAAGTTAAAATTTATTAGTATGGGGGTGACCTCTAGCTCGCTGGGTTGAGTTTGTGTACTATGTCCTTTGCAGCGGCTTTGCTTCAATTCCAACCTGCAGCCCTTTGCTGTATGCCATACCCCCTCTCCCACTTTTCCTGTCTTTATTCAGTTCTATTGTTCCTCCCCCCCCCCCCCCCCCCAAACCACCAAAAAAATGTATTAATATTCTTCTTGCTACGATTTGAGAAAATTCACTGACAACCTCTCCATGATCTCTCAATCAGCAGCATTACACGTGTTGTTCTTAGCACCCACAATCTCAAGAACATTAACTACGGAAACATATGATACATTAAAGAGAGATACAAACACCCATATTATGAGACAGTAGGAAAAGGAAAGGACATCATGCTCCTCAAAGTAAGTACATATTCTCAGGTGACATCATATATTTTTTGGTCAAATGATTTATTTTTATTATCAGCTCCAACACTTGTTAAACTGAATTCCGGTGAATTTAAAAAAGTTATGAAATCAGACATTGCTACTTTTGAAGTTTTACTTTCTGATGTCTCCAGCTGGCTAAGAAGGCTCGACTGGACAACCGAGTTCAAACCATTCCACTTCCCAGACCTGAAACAAAGAAACAAACAAACAAAGAAAACCAAAGGTGCCGTGTAGCTGGATGGGGTTCCATAAAAACTAATGGTAGCATTGTTGATGATCTGAGAGTGGTGGATGTGTCTATCATCAACCTGCAAGTCTGTCAGGGGATATGGTCTGGTCTTCCTCTTCCTGACAGTGTTATCTGTGCAGGTGGATATGGGACCAACAAAGGATTCTGTCAGGTATGTTTTCTGTCTGTTTGTAGAAAATGTCAGCTTCTGTGGAAACATGCTGCAATCATCTTCAGTCAAATAATGAATGAAGAATTTCTTCCTCCTCACAGGGGGATTCTGGTGGTCCTCTGGTGTGTGACGGGAAGGCTGTTGGAGTCGTGTCTTTCAACAACAACAAAAACTGTAACTACCCAAATGTGCCCAACATCTACACGGAGACCTCAAAATATCTTGACTGGATCAAAAGCATCATCAAACCCTATGAGTAAAATCATGCACGAAATTTTGCTTCAGCAAACATTCATTGAAATATGCAGGTTTGTGGTGACTCAGATTGCTCTGTCAGTGTGACTAAAATTCAAAATAAAGCTTCATTTTTAAAAAAAAAAACATGTTTAATTTCCTTCTGTAACAACCTCATCAGAACACATAAAATATGTAATTTTGAATTTGTGAATCTGTGCTGACATGATAGCAAATGACATGGACCTCATACTGTCTCGTCCATGAAGTTATTATAATCAGGAGAGAGTTAGGTGTAATGACTGTAATGACTGGTGAGTTACCTTTCCTCTTTCAGCAATCTTTGATCCATCTGATCAGAAATTAAGAAAAAGAACGGAAAATTTTGTGCATTTTTCTTTGTTTTGTCGCCACAACTTAAAGGTCCAGTGTGTAGGATTTAGAGGTATTTATTGGCAGAAATGAAATATATTATACAACGGTTAGTTCAGACCGAGTAATTTGATTGGACGAGAGGCATTCCGTGAGTGCTGATATAGGGCCAGATCTACTAAAGGTTTGCGTGTATAAAAAATGTGCAAACTCATTGCACACACAAGAAAATGTACAAACTGATCTACTAACAGTACGCACTAAGGGTTGCGTCTTTCAAAGGTGCAAAATAGAGCGTCTGCATCCAGTTAGTACGTTTGCTGCAATGAATATGCAATATGGAGCATTTACACGCAATTGTGCGTGTGCTGGGAGGAGAAAATGTAAATATATTCATTTAGCACACGCAAAGTGATTTATCAAACCTGAAAGCAATTTTGCTCATAGAAACTGCATCTACATTTAACACGTGTCAAAGGGAGGTGCAAACGGTTTGTATGCGTAATTGCGCACACATGGCTGCAGTTATTGTTGCAAGAAGGAGGCATCAAAACGATGAAAGAAGACATAGAGAATGCATTTTTCACCCTTGTGTGAAGCAAGCAACACGGGCTGGAGCAGAATGCCATGCCGGAGGCACACACACACACACACACTAAACACGCGATTGAATGAATGAATGAACATTGGAAGTGGTTCAGCCGCAGTCCTGCCGGCTGGTGGGGTCACTGTTGGGATTACATTCGTTTTTTATTATTAACAAAATGGTTTTTTATTGACCGTATGAATGAGTTTTGCAATATGTATAGCAGCCTATTGTATGTATCAAAATGTAACTTTAAGGCTTCAGAAAACATACAAGACACATTTTTAGGAAAAGTCATAGGAAGAGAAGCTTGTGGGTTTTATCTAAACAGAGTTATTTGCATTATAAAAACCCAAACAGACCGTCGTGGCGGTTCTAGTGTTAAACATAATGCTGTAGATTAGAATACGAGTGCTAGTGTGACCCAATAAACTGCAGAGCATTGCAAAGTTAAGCAAATCAACATTTACTGAAAAAAAGATGATTGAAGTCACTTTCTAGATTTCAAATATTATTATCAAACGAAATTTACAGTCTCATTAACGTCTCATTATGTTAAGCCACGCAAAATCATATTAAAGACACATTCTTTCAGTCACAACATTACAACATTTATCGTGGCAAAAAACAGTTCTTTATCGTATAGCCTATTTTACACAAAATGAATATTCACAGCCAATATAAGAAAACTTAAACGTGACATTTGAGTGTATTATTTGTGTTTCCTTTTACACAGGTGGAACTCGCCCGCCATGCGCACCTCTCCTCCCTCTCCGGTCCCTGGCTGTTGGTCACAGATTTCTTCCCATATAGCGTTCCTTTGTGAGACAGTCAGGTTTCTTTGCTGTAGCTCATTTAAGTGTTTATTGGCCTCATCTACCAACACCTCTAATTCCATAGGGTTGAATTTCACTTTGCGCTTTCTCTCCTAACTCGCCATGCTGCAAACCATAAAACACGCAAAACCCTCATTTAAATAGGGTGTCTCCAACACGTTTGCACCTCTTATCATTTACGCAATCACTCTTAGTAAATCACCCGCAGCCCCACACGCAAAATTCGAGATTGCACAGGCAAATTAGTACAGGCAAAATGGGATCTTAGTAGATCCGGCCCATAGAGTATAACATTACTGGGACATTTAACAGTAAAATCACTCTGCTCACAGGTGTTATAAATATAAATACAACCATTAATTAACCAACTGTCACACACGCTACATTGACGCAAACTGACACTATAGCGTTACACCAAGAAGATGGATATTTTCTCCAAAATTACATTTGAATTAAATTATGAGTGGTTGTCAGGAGAGGACGAGGAAAAGGAAAGCCAGGACTCTACTGTGCAGACCTCCAGGTGTGTTTGTGTAACATCAGCTGACCTCGACAAACTGGAGAGGAGCAAAAATGAAGCGAACACAGTCAGGAATTATCAATGATCATCTGATGAGGTACTGATGAGTATGAGGAAGAGTGGAAGCTGAATCCGGCCGTGCCAACATCCAGGTTTGCCAACGTTTCATCAGCTGAACTGGACGAAGTTACACAGCTGCAGATCAATGTAAATACAAAGTAGCGAGTTCCTGGCATGTGCTGCGTTGCCTGGCAACAGACTGGGGGAACTGTTTTTTTTGCGGAGCTACATAACATAATTAAATAATTTATTTTTTCACCTTTTGTTAACATTTCCTTACTCAGCATTGCTGTTTAAGCTGTTGTTGAACTTTCGTATATCGTCACGGCTAT